AGAGTGAGCGAGAGAATGAGCGAGAGAGTGACCGAGAGAGTGAGCGAGAGAGTGACCGAGAGAGTGAGCGAGAGAATGAGCGAGAGAGTGACCGAGAGAGTGAGCGAGAGAGTGACCGAGAGAGTGAGCGAGAGAGTGACCGAGAGAGTGAGCGAGAGAGTGACCGAGAGAGTGACCGAGAGAGTGAGCGAGAGAGTGAGCGAGAGAGTGAGCGAGAGAGTGAGCGAGAGAGTGAGCGAGAGAGTGACTGAGAGAGTGACTGAGAGAGTGAGCGAGAGAGTGAGCGAGAGAGTGAGCGAGAGAGTGAGCGAGAGAGTGACTGAGAGAGTGAGCGAGAGAGTGAGCGAGAGAGTGAGCGAGAGGGTGAGCGAGAGGGTGAGCGAGAGGGTGAGCGAGAGAGTGAGCGAGAGGGTGAGCGAGAGGGTGAGCGAGAGGGTGAGCGAGAGGGTGAGCGAGAAAGTGACCGAGAGAGTGACCGAGAGAGTGAGCGAGAGAGTGACCGAGAAAGTGACCGAGAGGGTGAGCGAGAGGGTGAGCGAGAGGGTGAGCGAGAGGGTGAGCGAGAGAGTGAGCGAGAGAGTGAGCGAGAGGGTGAGCGAGAGAGTGAGCGAGAGGGTGAGCGAGAGGGTGAGCGAGAGGGTGAGCGAGAGGGTGAGCGAGAGGGTGAGCGAGAGGGTGAGCGAGAGGGTGAGCGAGAGGGTGAGCGAGAGAGTGACCGAGAGAGTGAGCGAGAGAGTGACCGAGAGAGTGAGCGAGAGGGTGACCGAGAGGGTGACCGAGAGGGTGACCGAGAGGGTGAGCGAGAGGGTGAGCGAGAGGGTGAGCGAGAGAGTGAGCGAGAGGGTGAGCGAGAGGGTGAGCGAGAGGGTGAGCGAGAGGGTGAGCGAGAGGGTGAGCGAGAGGGTGAGCGAGAGGGTGAGCGAGAGGGTGAGCGAGAGAGTGACCGAGAGAGTTAGCGAGAGAGTGACCGAGAGAGTGAGCGAGAGAGTGACCGAGAAAGTGACCGAGAGAGTGACGCGAGAGTGAGCGAGAGGGTGAGCGAGAGGGTGAGCGAGAGAGTGAGCGAGAGAGTGAGCGAGAGGGTGAGCGAGAGAGTGAGCGAGAGGGTGAGCGAGAGAGTGAGCGAGAGAGTGAGCGAGAGAGTGAGCGAGAGAGTGAGCGAGAGGGTGAGCGAGAGAGTGAGCGAGAGAGTGAGCGAGAGGGTGAGCGAGAGGGTGAGCGAGAGGGTGAGCGAGAGAGTGAGCGAGAGGTGGGGGTTTACATGAAGCAAAGTTTAAAAATGTAACAATTTTTTTTTACGAAATGATGAACGAAGCAAAGTGCCGACTACACCGAGCATCTTCTTGTTTCCACTGATCGTAAAAAAAAAGAAAGGCCTCCCCGTCCAAGATTCTCTGAGACCCATAACGTTCTCGAGAGCGTCTCCATTGGTCTCCTGTTCGACGACGTCTACACGGCACACGCGGACGTCTTGTTCGAGGTGCGAATGCCCACACTTTATCCCACCACACGCCACCTGCCGATCGACTCACTCATTAAGTGCTGTGCATTGCACGCAATCGTGCTGGAGGTTGGACATTGGCGTCGGGATGGAAGCAAACGTGTCCCGTGGTTTAAATGAAATTAGTTTGACGGCGCATTGCCCGAGAGCTGCTGCCTTGTTGCGTTCAGGCTGTTGTCCCTTCCCCGCACCTCCGATGCGCACGGTGGGCTACACGTCGGCGTGCGAAAAAAGTTGAACATACTCTTAGGTTTTTCGGTAAAGTCACGTAGGAAAAAAAATAAAGAAAAATATGTATAAATAATAATACAAATAAAGTAATTTTTATTATATTATATTATTATATTATAATTTTATTTATATTACTATTTATATGATTTATTATTATTTATTTTTTACCTACGTGACTTTACCGAAAAACCTAAGAGTATGAATCCTTGCAGTCACGAAAGCTTCAAATCTAGAAGTTGAACATAGCTGCACATACAGCTGCCGTTCCGGGAGATCGAACCGGCGCGGCAGGTCCAGCGCGGCCCACCGATTGCACCTCTGGTCACGGCTTCGCCACACAGCGAGACGAATCCAGCAGGGTCCTTACAACTCGTGATGATACGATGCGATGCCACGCGTCATGGAGCCAAATACTGTCGTCACGATTGCAGACGCTGAACAATCTTGTGTTCAGAGTGCCAGATAAATTAAGTTTCGACTCTTGGTTGTTGGTTGTTTGACTTGCATCCCACTGGGATTGTTGCACACAGCGTTGGTGTACGGTGCTTTTTTCTGCAATATTTTGCTGTCTTTTCTTGGATTTTCTGTTTGCACTCAGTCACAAATTCACTTTAAGATGTTTTTTGTTCGTGTTTTTGTTTGTCGCGGTTGCACCCGATTCAAGAGCCGAATGGCTCACAGGGCTATACCTAATAAATGAACTTGAACTATCACCGCTCATTTAAACTTGGAAACCCGTGTCTTTCATTATTTATCATACCAACGTCTGTATGCGACTCCGTCATCATTCCTAATAATTGGCCAGGATTCAGGAGGGATGTCACGAGCCAATGTTGGTTAATCAGTGACGAATAGCTATTTACGGTAGGCGATTCATAATTAAAGAAGATAACGAGGAAGTAATTGGTTCATGTAGCTGAGGTTACGGTGTAAATCTTTAATCACGGCTAAGTTGGAATCGGTGGGCGGGAAGTCCCTACACCCTGTCTGGGAGGCTCTTACCGGCGTGTGATTCAAGGAGTTTGCGGATTTTGTCGTCCACGATACACAGGCGTGGCAGCGCCTTGAAACACGGTGGAGTCTTCTTCTTCTTGGTTCTTTCGGTAAAGTCACGTAGAATGGAAATAATAAAATAATAAAAATAAAACATAATAAAATAATTCTCACGACGTTTCGGCCACAACGCAAGCAGCCGTCCTCAGGTGAAGAACAGGTCTGTCGATAAGACAGTCTGAATGACACGTCCTGGGCTTGTTGCGTCTATTTAAGCTGGGAGTCTAACAGCGCGTTGGGAAGGCGCTGCTTACAATAATGGTGACGAGTGCTTGAACGTGTAATGCGATATACTCCATGAGTATTCATTATGATAAATGATAATACAACTGTGAAAGTGATTAGGATAATGACACGCGTATCCTTGTCAATAAAAACACCGAGGCAGCGACGATGATGATGATGATGGCAAGTGAATGAGTGTCAAGCAGGCAATACTTTACAATTGGAACGATGATCATGATGAAGAGTACAAGAGAGAATATTGCACCATACAGATGATGATGGTGGTTATAATGATGCCATCAGGAGAGACATCACGAGAGAGTGATGATGAAGGTGATGCACGTACAGGGTGGCCCAGATGTTTTGTGACCCCCCCCCCCAATTCAAATTGACTTCTATTCTCTCTTTGCATGTTCATGTCTGCTTTAAATAAACCTTACTTTTAATTAATATCTATATATACCGTACGTAGCCAGCCGCACTAATCGGAGGTGCGGGGGGAGGACAACAAACTAAACACAACACGCAGTTCTAAAGAAATTAGTGTGTCGATCGAGAGCTCCATGCGTCGTTCCACGAGTCAAGAAAGAGATGCTGAGCAGGGCATTCACAATACAGTGCTGTAGTAGTGATGAGGATGGCATCAAGCCATCAAAGATCCCACGTATAGCCTTAACAGACTGTAGGGGCAAGTGCTGTTAGCGAGCACCTATGATGGCCGGAACGGTAACACAAGGAGGTTGGGTGGCCACGCACGACCGCCTTTGTCTCCCCAGTGGCGATGTTTACACACCGCACCAGGTACTCATGTCAGGCTGAGTCGACCTAGGGGAGGCCCAGGTACGGTTCATATAATCGTCACTGGTGTTGGCCGTGAGCGGGAATCGAACCCGGGTCGCCAGGTTCATAGCGCAGCGCGCTAACCGCTACACCACCGCTCCCCCATCAAGCCATCGCACACACACAGACAATGCTTAAACACACCAGCGATGGTAATTTAATGATGGGAAATGCTGAATGTGCTAATTAATGATCTATGGTGCAGCTGCTGCTCCTGCTGCTGTTGCTGACCAACCAATGTGTATTTGTTACACGGAAAGTCCCGTTTAGCCAGTTACCCAGCTAGTTGACAAGTGAGATCCGTGGTGCATCAACACAGAGCAAGAAACCCGTCCAGAGGAGCAGATAACGACGGAACAACACGCGTTAGAGGTACAGGCAGACGTCTACAAGATTGAAAAAGGAATACAAATGTACAATATTAACAACATTAACAACAGGAATATTGCACCATGATGATGCAGCTCCTCCTGCTGCCGATGATGCTAAAGGCTGCCGCTGCTGATGGTGACGATTATCAACAGTGCATACACAATACCGTGCTGTCAAGAGTGATACTGCCGCCGATACAGATGATGATTTCGCTTTGTTCACCGAGGAAAGCCTCACTGCGTCTCGCTACCGATTTATCAGTCGGGTCCGAGCGCGTTTTCACAGTAGGGGATCAACACCGATCGTAGTGTTTACTCCAAACGGAATCATTTGCGGATATATTTTCAGAATACTTCGAACGCTGCAGCTGATACAGTCGCTTGCTGCTGCTACTGTTACTGCTGCTGCTGATACTGCTGTTGATAGTCATTCTGCTCCTGCTGCTGATACTGCTTCTCTCGCTTGCTGACACCGTGGCGCCTGCTGCTGCCTGATACTCCTGCTACTGATACAGCTGCAGACACTGCTCCTGCTGCTGATACTCGTGCTGCTGCTGATGATGATACTCACAATGCTCCTACTGCTGGACACTGCTGCTCCTGCTACTTACACTGCTCCTGCTGCTACTTACACTGCTCCTGCTACTGACACTGCTGCTGCTGCTTGCCGACACTGCTTGGTGGAGCGAGTAACTCCGCGCCGCTCCGCGCGCCGTGCGCCCCGTCCCCACCACCACCACCCCCACACACCACCCCACCGCCGGCTCGCCGCTACTCACACGAAGACGTGGTAGACGAACGCGCAGCCACGCGGCCGCTCCAGCACGTTGTAGAGGACGTTCTGCATGCGGCGGTAGCGCGCGTTCCTGCGGGCGAATCGCCCCAGCGCCCGCGGCTTCCCCAGCAGACTCAGCCGGGGTCCCTGCGCCTCCGTGTGGCCGGGCACCACGAGGGGCAGACCGCCGTCCCGCGCCGGTCTGCGCTCGGCCGAAGGGCGCTTCATCGCCGCGGTCGCCGTAGCCGCCGTGGTTGCGTTCGTCGCGGTGTTGGCGGTGGCTGCGGCGGTGGCTGCGGCGGTGGTGGTGGTGGTGGTGGTTATCATCAGCACCATCGTCGTCTAGCCGTGCACTCGTGCGTCGGGAATTCCTGGTTCAGCGTCGGTGTGGTCGTCGTGGTGGTGGTGTCGGCCACGGCGGCTTGCTTCGTGAGCCGCCCGGCATCGTGTGAGCGGCTCCCGGTCGGACGGGGTGATATGCGCTCAGAGCGGCGGGGATGACGAGCCATTGCACACAGGGGGTCGCAAACATCCACGGGGCACGTCGCGCGAGAGCGAGCGTGAGACGCGGCGGGCACGCGTGCGTCTCGGCCGTGCGCGTGTCCGTGCAAGTGCGGATGTGTTTATTGTCTCAGTGGGGGTTTTGAAGAATGGTTGTGTGTGTGTGTCCTTAACCTCGGAAAACTGGCTCAGCGCTTATCTCAGCTCCCATATACGGGAGTTGACTGTGAGCGTGAGTGCGTGCGCGCTGCGTTGGACCCGTGCCTTGCGCTTAAGTTTGGTTCATCAACACGTGGCTATCATGCGGCGAAGATGATGATGATGATGATATGATGAGGACGACGCAGGGATTATATTGATTACACGGATTACGACCATGATGTCGGCATGATTGTGATTACAATGCAATGATCATGAAGCCGAAGAGACGACGATGATGATGATTATTACGCTCGCACATACGACGGTCATCCGAGTGATGATGACTGATTGGCAGCAGCGTGCCACGCCAAATATGACCGCTCGAGGGAACGGTCCCACGGCTTAGCGCAGCCCATTGCCGAGCGGAGACGATCACGACGGAGGCGTGGAGGCCAAGGCACGCGCGTGACACACACACAGAGACGAGCGGCGAACAGCAGGCTCGAGCGGAGCTGCACAGCAACATCAGCGACGCCGGCCACACGTGGCGCACATCGGCCGCCGCCTCCTTGTCTCTGGGCACAAATGCAATCCGCCTCCTCCTCCTCCTCCTCCTCCACAGGGCACGATCGGTGCAGTGTCCGTCAAGAGACATGGACGGACACGCGGATTGCAGATGCCCCGTATAGCATTGACAGCCTGTTGGGCTTACTCTTTGGTTCTTTCGGTAAAGTCACGTATAAAGATAAAATAATATTATTATTTTTTATTAATTATTATTTTATCTTTATACGTGACCTAACCGAGAGAACCAAAAAGTAATCCCTGCAGTCACGAAAGCTCCAAATTAAGATTGAGCCTGTTGGGCTGCCATCGAGTAGCACTTATGAAGGCCGGAACGGCACACGATTTGGTTTGGGGGTGGCCCGACACCACGCCCGGCCACCTTTGTCTCCCCAGCGCCGATGTTTTAACACGCCGAAGGAGGTACTCATTTAAGGCTGAGTCAACCTAGGGGAGACCCGTTTCCGGTTAAAATATCCGCTGCTGGTATTGGTCGTGAGTGGGAATCGAACTCGGGTCGCCGGGTTCGTAAGGTAGTGCGCGATCACTCTCCATGTTAGCGAGCACCCATAAAGGCCGTAACGGGCACGGTATGAGGTGGGTGGCCAACACTACGCCCGGCCGCCTTTGTCTCCCCAATGCTGATGCTGTAACAAACTGAACGAGGTACTCATTTAAGGCTGAGTCGACCCAAGGGAGATCCATGAACGATTCAAATACATATCCGCTACGAGTGGCAATCAAAACTCTGGTCGCCGAGTTCGTAGCGGAGTGAGCACGTGCACACAATCGCACCCAAGATCCCCCGTTTCGCCTTCTATACGGGCTGTGTGGAGCAGAACCACGCCCGGCCGCCTTTGTCTCCCCAAGCGCTTACGTTTTACTCTCCGCCCGAAAGTGCTCACTGCAAATATCACTTTGCTAGTACTGACACAAGCACGCTTCTGATATGAGCACAATTCGAATACAAGTTTACGTCTGATATAAGCACACTCAAGATCACGTGACATAAGTATAATTCGAATACAACTACACGTCTGATATAAGCACACCCGGCACTAAAATTGGGTACATCGTCACAGTCAAACCGGCAAGCACTCGCGTGGTGGGGTGCAGTGTGGGTCCATCCCACCTCTATGATCAGCAAGGAAGAGGAGGAGGCTAAGTATCCTCCTCTAGACTGCAGCGCCCCACAGCCTTTTTGGCACCAGGGACCGGTTTCGTGGAAGACATTTTTTTCACGAACCGGGGTGGGGGGGAGGTCATCATTGGGTCTTTCCTACTTTTCAAAGAAGCTCTCCAGCGACGTTTGTTTTGTACTCATGTTGGCTACTAGGGGGTTAGCAGCTTGTGGGCTCACCAACACTGTGGCTGAGACGAGTGCGCAGTGCGTGAAAGATACGCGGACGGAAGTGGTCAATAATAAAGTCATGGGCGGGCCACGCGCGGACTCACCGCTCTCACCTCCTGCTGCTGTGCGGCCCTGGGCTAGAGCCCGCCCGAGAGCATTGGCGAGAACAACCAAACAATGAAGCAATTGCATTGTTGCGCCGTTCTTTACCCGTTCACGGAGAAGCGTGGGCGAACGCACCACGCGGTGACTTGCGCCGCCGTGCGGTTTGTACGGTTCGCACGTCCATACGAGAGCGTTGATTACCAAACGATGGCCGATTCCTGACATTCGGTGATCGATCTTCAGAACGGTAATCGGTTGACTGGTTGTCGCTTAACAACCTAATGATAGGATTTGAACCGTGAATGATGTTACCGAGTGGCCGAGAATCGATCTCATACGACGCTTTGGGTAGGATCGTAGGGCAGTGCGCCAACTTGAACAACCGCTCCCCACATACATCCAACAAAGGCAAAGATCCCCCGTGTAGCCTTAACAGACTGTCGGGGCAAGTGCTGTTATATCGAGCACCTATGAAGGCCGGAACGGAGCACGAGGGGGGTTGGGTGGCCAGCACCACGCCTTTGTCTGCACACCAGGTGCTCATTTGAGGCTGAGTCGACCTAGGTTTGAGGCCCAGGACCGGTTCAAAAATCGTCATTGTTGTTGGCCGTGAGTTGGACTCGAACTCGGGTCGCCAATTCTCGTAGCGCAACGCGCTAACCGCTACACTACGGTTCCCACATACACTCATGTACACATACATCCGTATATACACACACACGAGCACGGACGCACACGGACACGAACGCACACGAACATGCACGCACACGGACACGCTCGCACGCACACGAACACACACACACACGCACGCGGACACACACACACGCACGCGGACACACACGCACACGAACACACACGGACACGCACGCACACGGACACGCACGAACACACACGGACACGGACACAGACACGCACGCACACGGACACACATGAACACACACGGCCACGCACACGCACGCACACGAACACACACGGACACGCACGCACACGCATGCACACGAACGCACACGGACACGCACGAACACACACGCACACGAACACACACGAACACACACGGACACACACGCACACGAACACGCACGCACACGGACACACACTCACACGGACACACACGCACACGGACACGAACACACACGGACACACACGGACACGAACACACACGGACACGCACGCACACGCATGCACACGAACGCACACGGACACGCACGAACACACACGCACACGAACACACACGAACACACACGGACACACACGCACACGAACACGCACGCACACGGACACACACTCACACGGACACACACGCACACGGACACGAACACACACGGACACACACGGACACGAACACACACGGACACACACGCACACGAACACACACGGACACACACGCACACGAACACACACGGACACACACGAACACACACGCACACGAACACACACGCACACGGACACGGACACACACGGACACACACGCACACACACGCACGCGGACACACACGCACACGGACACACACGAACACACACGGACACACACACACGCACACGGACACACACGCACACGAACACACACGAACACACGCACACACACGGACACACACGCACACACACGCACACGGACACACACGAACACGGATACACAGGCACGCACACGAACACACACGCACACGGACACACAGGCACGCACACGCACACGGACGCACACGAACACATACGCACGCAATGGCACCGTGAAGGACCCCGGTGAATTCTGTGAAAGCGCAGAGGAAACTTTGAGCGTATTTTTAGTTTCCAGTGCCAACACAGAAAGTGCAGCTATTTTAAAATAACAAAGTCATATTCAAAGAGCGCTCTCACTCTCTCTCTCTCTGTCTCTCTCGAAAGACAGAGTGAGAGGGCGCTCTCACTCTTTTTTTTTTAAGATCAGTGCATGGAAACAAGAAGATGCTCGGTGCAGTCGGCACTTTGCTTCGTTCATCATTTCCTAATTTTTTTATTATAATTTTTTTAAATAATAACGTTGCTTTATGTAAACCCCCACCTCTCGCTCGCTCACTCTCTCTCTCACTCTCTCGCTCACTCTCTCGCTCTCTCTCGTTCTGCACGCAGCCCTTCTCGCAGTCCGACGGCCTCCGACGGGTAGCTCATATCAGCATGCAGAGCTCCCCGTCATCTGCCACCGAGCACACGACCTCCTCCATCGCCCACTGCTCCTTGAAGGCCGGCACGGCGTGGGTCTCTCACTCTCTCTCTCTCGCGACGGTTGTAGACGTGACAAGATGATTGACACGTGGGAGAGTCCTCAATGTTTACCATTTCCCCGAGTGTAAATACAAGTGAAGTTTTACACACGATTAGAGAGGAGACAGGCAGGCGTTTGCAATCAATTAACCACGTCCGGCTGTGATGCGGGCTCTTGGGCGCGACAACGCGGTCACAGCATGTGTTTGGTGTCCTTCCCCCGCACATCCGATGAGTACGGCTGCCTACGTCCGGTGCGAAAGATGTTCAACATAAATCTTGACTTAAAGCTTTCGTAGCTGCAGGAATTCATATTCTTTGGGTCGTTCGGTAAAGTCACGGAGATAGGTTCAAAGAAAATAACAAAAAATGACTACAGAGAAAAAATAGCGACAAAATAACAACTACAGAGAAAATACAGAGTAGTTGTCATTTTGAGTTATTTTCTTTGAACCTGTCTACGTGATTCTAGATTTGAAGTTGTCGTGACTGCAAGGATCCATACTCTTTGTTTTTTTTCGGTAAAGTCAAGAAGGTGACAAAAAAACCCTAAATTAAATCACGTTTCGGAAGCAACACAAGCATCCGTCATCAGGTGTGACTGTTCCAGCGAAATTACTGCAGCGTATGAGTAATTTGTGTTGCTTCCGAAACGTCGTGATTTAATTTAGTTTCACCTACGTGACTTTACCGAAAAAACCGACTATCCACGTGACTTTAGTAGTTGTTATTTTTTGTTATTTTCTTTGAACCGATCTACGTGACTTTACCGAAAG